CAGTGCCCACCAAGAAAGGAAGGCACAGACTTGGTCCCAGAGAGCTACAGGAGCCTCTAATGGGATCAAGGGATTAGTATTGATTCTGCAGGCGCTGCTCAGGGAAAGCCTGATGCCAGAGCTAATCAGCTCCCAGCCCAGTCAATCCATACTTCATTAACCCAGCCCCAGCTACCAGCCAGCAGCACTGCTGCCCTGTGCCCCCTCAGCCTCTGCCAAAGGGCAGGACACAGGCATCTGCTCCCCATGTGCCACCAACCTCCAGAACACATAGGGTCCTTTCAGGCCTCCTGCTCCTCATCTAGCAGGTTCTGCTGTGGGTCCTACATGGAGGCAGTAGGGCTTCCTTTATAAACCCAGTCACTTGATTATCTCCACAGACCTGAGAAGCAGGCAGGGAGATCTTGTCCCCATCTTGCACAGGAGGAAACTGAGGCTTAAAGCCCAGATGTTAGGAGTGAGCAGAGGTCCAGGATGGACCACATTACATCCTAAGCACATACTGCCTCTGCCTTTTTCCTATTGATACTTTTGGGTTTTGCTTTCTGGCTGTCCTGGTCCACCCTTGAGTCCACCCACTGGTGGCTTCTGCCCCAATGCCTGAGCACTCTGACCTTGCTGGGTGTATTCCTGTTCTGCCCACACAGGCGGTCAGTCCTGGAGTCCTGAGAAGGGCCATCAAGGCTCCCAACTCTGCTTCCACAGCACCTGCAGGCCTCACTCCACCCTGGGTTGGGACACCTGCCCCCTGTGGGTGGTATATGAAGATACTCTGATAGGAAAGGCAGTGTGAATTCCAGGTCTCTACCACTTTGTTCCCTTCTAACTGGGAAAACCCAGCCAAGGGCTGGAACTGAAGGAAAACTATGTTGGTGCAGACTTAGTGTAAAGAATGCTCACGTGCTTTAGTTTTCTTCCAGCCTGACAGTGTCAAAAATGTAATTCATTGAATTTTTGTATTTTCAGGTAATTTGTTTCTATATTCCAAGAGACAGCCTTTGGATTAGATTTGGATTATGGTTCTATGAATAAGGAAAATTAGGTTTTGGTGTATTGTGGTTCTCTGCAAGTGAAAGTCCATTCTAGTTCATGGCAGGACTTTGAATGGAATAAAAATTGGCCCCAGCTGGTCTTGCTGCAGTTTCCTAAATCGTGCAGCTAGTGGTCTCCAGGCCGGAAGACATGTGCTCAGCCCAGAGGCTCCTTGCAGGACGACCTGAGAGCAAACATCTAGTGCTTTGTCCTGAGGGAACATTGGTTTCCTGCCCTCTTCTGGGCATGTGTAGGATGGGCACAGCCGACAAATGACCTGCTGCTTGGTTTTTCCAGAGGGTAGAGAGGGCAGCCAGCCAGACAGACCTGATGGTGAACTGTGGACAGCTGGACAGTGGCTGGCAGGCCTGTGGAGAAGCCCAGAGAAAAACCACCATATCCTGGGTCCTGATGCGTGACTGCCCATGTCGCAAGCACGCTCTGAGGCTGAGTGGGAGAAGTGTTCAGTAGGAATATGTTGACAACCAACAGGACAGGGAAGACCCCTCAGCCCTTGCCTACACAATGTAGATGCTTTGGGAGTTCTCAGGCCAGGGCAGTAGCCCCTGCAAAGAGCCCTGCAGCCTAATCTAGGATCAGAGGACAGTTTTGGTTTTGGAAAGGGGTGCCTCTTCTACCTCCTTGGCTTCCCTTCTTTGCCCTAGGCCCATTCTGGCAGCCACGCCAGCTTTTGAAAGGGAAGACTACTATTTCCAGGAAAAAATGTACTCATTTTCCATTGCTCTAACAAACTCCTACATCCTTGGGAGCCTAAAACAGCACCCATTTGATCTCTTCAGTACCCATGGCTCAGAGCCCAGGCCTGGCTTCACAGGGTTCTAAGGGCCTGCAAAGGACGGTTGGGCTGTGTTTTCATCTGCAGGGCTGACTGGGAAGAAACTGCTCCGTGCTCCTGCAGGCTGCTGGCAGAGTTCACTGCCTTGCAGAGGCAGACCAAGGGCTGGGGCTGCAGCCAGGCATGGCAGGGGCCACACAGCTCACTACCTTACTGCATAGGTTTCCCCAGCCAGCCTCCTACTTCATTGGGCCTCAGCCAGCTGGAGTTGCCCACCACTCAGAGTAAGCAAGATAGGGACAGGCCCCAATTTCTGCCACACTCTATGGTCAGAGGCCAGGCACAGGGGCCGTCCACACCCAGGGGCTGGGAGATGGCACAGAGGCATGGACCAACCAGGCAGATGGACCAACCCACCCTTGCTCCTGCCTGGTGCCTGCTATGGCCTTCCATCCCCTCTCCCATCTTCTGTTCACTCTCTTCTGCCCAGGGAGAGATGCCCGCAGGGCTGTGCAGCAGCAAGAAGAGCCATGAGAGCCTCTCCCCTTCTCTGCAGTGAGCTGTCAGCAAGGGAACCTCCCTAACCTTGGCTTGGCCATCCGTAAAATAAGAGTAAAAGTTGTTCTTCCCCTACTAGGTTGTCAGGATTATTAGAAAAAAAAATCATCATAAATACCTAGTACATGGTTGGAGCCAGTACACAGATACTGTTGTTGCTGCCAACCTGACAGCCTGGGAAGGGCCTGGCCCTTGGTCTTACTTCCCTCTGACTCCTTGGTGCGGGAAGGCAGGTGGGAGCTACAGACCCTGGCAGCCCACATCAGCCCTGAGAGAGGCAGGGAGGAAGACAGGGACTGGGACAGTGAGACAGTCTGCCTCACAGACTAAGCTTGGACTTGTCATATGGTGTGAAGCCACTGGAAGACCCATTGCTATCCCCTGGCCTTGGCTTCCCCCATCCCAGCACAGTGCTGTCAGGCTCCTCCTGTTGCTCTGGCAAGTTTCAGTGTGGCCTGACTAAGCTCCTACCACCTTCCTCCCCAGCAGTTCCCCATCCAAGCTTCTTTCTTTGGGTCATTGTTTCAGAAGCTGACATGAAAGTCTTGGGACTATCCTTGATTCCTCCTTCTCACTGCACCTTCTGGTCCTTAGCTCCTAGCTGTCTGCTCCAGGCCTGGGGCTGTTACCCCTCTCCATCTAGGGCAGCTCTTTGCCTCCCATGGGTGCACACCCACAGGGTCAGCTCTGCCACAGGGCGTGAGGAGAGGAGGATGTATTCTGGAACCAGATGACTAGCAGAGTTAGCAAGGCAAGGAAGCCAGTCTGCAATTGCAAGCAAAACAGGGGCAGCAAGGGCCACGTGGGTGGCTGGCTGTAGGCCCCAACCCTTCTTCTGCCAAGCTGCCATGCACCAGCAGTGGCAGAGAACATCCCAGGACCCAGAAAGACTGCAGCAGCCCTAGACACTTCCAAGACAGATGGTGGGCCAGCAGCTGGGATGCCTGGTGCCGGGTGCTGGGTGGGACAAGGGTCTCTAGGACTGGTCAGGTGAGGGCACGACCTGCAGTGTGGCTCCTTGCAATGCCTATGCACTGGAACCAAGCAGGCCAGCTAAGTCAGGTAGGCTTGTTCCTGGCACTGAGTGTGAGCCTTGAGTGGGCCAAGCCTAGCGTGTGGCCTCTCAGGCTGGTAGGGCCCATGTCCTGGAGGGAAGGGTGTGGGCAGCCAACACTTATCTTCCCCTGTGGCATCACCCTTCCTGCTCTGGTTTTGGCCCAGCTGCTCTCTGCCTCAGTTTCCCTGGGTGCTGAGATTTGTGCTGTTGTGGGTAAGAGTGTTGGCATGATGAGACTCCCTTGCCCTTTATGTGTGTTGGGTTTCTACTTCCTGCTCTGGTGTCTTCTCTGGCCATGCCCTGCCCAGGCTGGAGCAGCTGAGGTGACTCTGCCACCTGAGGTCTGACCCATCCTGCCATGCACTTGCTGCTTTCACATTCATCCACAGGGCCCAGACCACGATGAGGTCCTCCGGGGCACCATACCTTCCTCCCCTCTGGGCCCAGGACATGAATACAAAACAGAAGCTTCACTGGTATCTCTGACTCAGTTTCCTTACCTGTAACTCTTATAAGGCTATTCTGGAGTCAGTGGAGGGATCTATGGAAAGCACGTAGCTCACAGCACTACTAACACTAGGTCACAGGAGTGTGCCAGCACTGAGAGCCACCTCACCACCTGGTTTTGAAATTCAGCTGAACCCCAGTGCCTGGTAAAAAGAGACAGCAATGGTGGGACTGCACTCCTTCCTATGGGTCAGCACATACTGGCCGTCAGGGAGCTTGGCTAGCAGGATGAGTCTCAGACCCTGGCTGGGATGCTGCAGTGTGACAGATACTAGAGGCCGGCACTCCAGGAAACCGGACTCTGGCTTGGCTCTCCCTGCCTCCGCTTCCTCTCACAGGCACTGTCTCATACCTTCCCCATTCACGGCCTTGGGGCAGCTCCCTTAGGTGGGCACTGGGGCTTGGAGTGGAAAGGCTGAACGACAGCTCACCATCCTTTGTGATTTGATGCCTGCCAGTGGCTCTTTATTCCCTTCCTCATCCGTGCACAGGCCAGCCTCCCTTCGGGAACACTGAGGTAAGAGGCCCAGGCATTTCCATAGGCCACATGCCCCCTTGTCTCCTGCTTCCAGAGCTGTCAAATCACTGAGATGCATTAGCTGGGGACCCCTGGACACTGCCATTTCCTGCTCTTTTTCTCTTGGAGGTAGGATCCTGGGAAACTTCATTCTTATCCCCTCTCACCTCCAGAGCTTCCCCACTTCCCTCTATTACCCTTGCTCTGCCCTGGCTCTCTGCCTGGAGCAGCAGCTCACCCTACTGTCTGGATGGGAAACAGTTAAGGTACAGGTTGGAAGGGCTTGGGGAGTGCAGCCTGAGAATGAGCTCTGGACGACATGTCCCCTCCCTGCAAGCACAGCAGGTATAGACGTGATGAATGGAGCAGTCCTTAAATCTCAGTCCCACAGGCAATAGATTGTGGTGACACTATCTATATGTTTTACAGGCATATATTGTACAGCAAGCTGCAGGTTGGCTACGGATCGCCAATCACCCAGATGGAGCCCAAACATCACAATAGCACATGCTCAAGGCAGGCTTGCCACATACCCAGGGACTTTCCCGGACTCTCCAGGGACTCTCTCAGGTTTCCCAGCTCTTGCCCTTGGCACAGGTTCCTGAAATAGTAGAGATTTCACTCTTAGGGTCCCAGAAAGGCAGCAGGGCAGGAGGACTCAGCACAAGCCGCAGGCCACTGGTCAATAAGTGTTCCCTTCCTCACTGGCCATGCACCTAGGGAGCTGCTCAGCCCTGAAGGACCAGGCAGGGTACACTCCTCCTGGGGGATGACACAAGACTGGGCATCCAAGGATGCTCCTTAGCACAGGATGTGTGAAGGGAACACCCAGAAGCCTGAGCAGACAGCAGCTAACATAGAGCTCCCCGCTCTGCCCTCATGTGACAGTCGGCACGGAGCTTCACTCTGAGCACAGACTCGGCTGGGTCACCTTGTACTTAGGCCTCCCCTGAGTACTGACTGAGTGCCTTTTTCTCCATGGCCTGGGGAGCATCAGAGAACCTGTCCACCACATCAGTGGATAAACAACATGTGGTATAAGCACACATTCTTCAGGTTTGACAAGGAAGGAATTCTGCCACAAGCTGCCACATGGGTGGACTTGAGGTCATCATGCAAGTAAAATAAGCCAACTGTGAAAGGACAAATCTTGTATGGCTCCACTCACATGCGGTATCTGGAGCAGTCAAGCTTACAGAGATGGAAACCAGTGTGGAGGTTGCCAGGGCTGGGGAGGCCGGGTGGGGGAACTGTTTCATAGGAACAGTTTCCAATTTGCAAGATGAAAAAGTCCTGGAGGTCTATTTCTCAGTGATGTGAATATACCACAATGTGAGTACACTCCTGACTTGTACAATTAAACGTGATTAAGGTAGTAACTTTTATATTGTTTTTTACCACAACAAAAAATAGAAACCTGTCACCTGAAGGTCTGTTAGACATGGTGGGGGCAGTCAGTGAGCTCTCCTGTAGCAGACTGGCTCAGGGGCTGCCCTGTCACCTTCCTGAGCTGTCACCTGAGCATCATGATGGGAAAGGAGGCACAGGAGGCATGAGGGAAGCACCCCTCAGAGGTTCCAGATGTGCATTGGGGGCAAAGTTCACCCCACCTAGCAGCTGGGCCTGGGCAGTAAAGGGAGAGAGAGAGGGAGAGAGGGAGAGACATAGAGAGGTGGGGGTAAAGAGAGAGAGAGAGGCTGATTTACAAGTGGGAGAAGTTAATATTGACATGTGATGAGTTAGGAGTGTAATACTTCAGCTGAAGTTCAGACCCTCTGACGGAGAGAGGAAATCACATGCCCAGAAGCTGTACGTCAAGTTAAGCAGGCTCTGAGCACAGTCCTGGGCCTGGGCTCCTCAGGCTCAGTGTCCTTCCCGCAGGACACTCAGGGTCCTCTGTGGTGTGTGAAGGGAAGGCAGGCTAGCAAGGCAGTAAGGGCTCAGAGCCCAGGACCACAGGCAAGCCCAGGGCACCATCCATGCCCTTCGGTGGCTGCGTGACTCGTCCCCAGTCTGCCAGGGGACACAGCACTACCACTCTGAGCAGCTCTGATCTCAAGAGTGTTGGGTCAATGAGGGGAAGCGGCTGGTCCTCAGATTTCCTCAGGCAATGTGGGCTGCAGGTCTGGGGGAGGCAGGAGCCAGGTGACCCCCAAGCCCCAGTTCCAAGCCACTGCAGTCCCTGCCAGCCAGCCACCTTGGTCATTCCAGGTCATCCTGGTCATTTTTGGTCATTCAGCCAGCCTTATTCCTTGGTCAGAGTTGTATAGACACTATTGCAGCTAATGATTCATTGATTTAATTAAGGTTTTGTGTGTGTTTTTGATTCTGTCTGTGGCCAGGAGGAGCTGGCCTGCCCAAGGGCCCTGTGACAGAGACTTTATGCTGTTACCTCTCTGCTTTTCTCCCTGGCCAGACAAGGAGGCCCAGGCATGGGCGCAGGCTGCAACTGCATGTCTCTGTCCTGCCTACAGGATGGGCCACTTGCCAGAGAGGAAGGAGCAGGGAGCCCAGGACTTCAGATGCAGGCTGGGGTGAGGCACTATGGTGCCATTTGACCTTGGACAAGAGTGGAATCACTCTAGGCATCCACACCCTCATCTATGAAAAAAGGAGGCAACATACTCACAGAGCTTACTCCTGGAAAAACCAGGCAGGCCAGGTAGTCTGGGGCATCCACTGCCAGTGTGGGGCTCCTGAAGGCCAATTTCTGCTCCTTCTCCTCCACCCTTCCTTTGGCAGCATGGCTGGCAGCCCCCTTGCTTGTGTGCCCCACTCCTGGGGGGTTAGTGGCTAGGTGAAGGGTGTGCTTTAGCGGGGTGGGAAAGGCTCACCTGGCCCACACCGTTCCTGTTTTAGATGAGGAAACCGAGTCCCCATCGGGTATCCCATGGTAAGTTGCTGATGCAGCTCAGTATCCGGCTGCATAGTCAGCTGGGTGTGTGGCAGCCCTGAGTCCTGTCCAGACAAAGCCTCCCTGCTGGGCTGCAGCCTCCTGGCTGTCTTCCTCTCAAGACCAGGGACACAGTGAGCCCCAGTAGAAGCTTTTACAGCCCCTGCTCCATCACCGCACAGCAGGGCGCCAGCACAGCTTGCTGCTTTTATCTTAGAGGATTTAAGATTATTATTATTATTTTTTTGTGGGGGGGAGAGTAGTTCCTGTAGAGCAGAATTTCCATTGCATGCATCTCCAAACAACCTCAGCTCCTTCTTACAATATTCAGTTACAAATGAGGAGGATGTATTTCTAGTCTCACTTATCTCACAGGGCCTGGCACATTGCAGAAGGTATGAACTGGCCCTATACTTAACTCAGATGGGGAAACTGAGGTCCAGGAAGGGTCTGAGTTGTAAGCAAGATCACAGGCTGATGGCAGGCATCCTGGTACAGAGTAGGCTGTTCATTAAATATTTCAGTGAATTGCTACAAGAATGAATAATACAAATTGCTTGCTATTTTCAAATAAAAAATAAAAAGCAACTGGTGTTGTGTGTTCTGAGAGATTAACATGATTAACTATAATGACTCACTCCCTCCTCAATATCCTATTATCACCCTCATTTTAGAGAGGTGAAATCAGAAGCCCAGAGAGGTTAAGCAATGTCCCAAGATCACACAGCTAGTAAGCAGCAGAGCCAAGACCCAAGTTCAGCTGGGTCGCACCCTTAGTTGACTGGCCAACCTATCTACACAAAGGAAGACTTGCAGACGCACTGTCCACAGATCCCTCAGGCTGCTGGAGATGCTCTGCATGTACGTCCGAGATGGTGGACACTGGCACACCTGACTGTGAGCCCCCAACTAGGGCTTGGGTGGCTGCAGGGCTGTGTAAGGTGCAGAGAAGCAGCTTGCCCATCCTGGTGTCCAGCACTGGCCAGTTCTGAACAAGAGTTGAATGCATAGTCCCAGTCCTGGGCACAAAGAGTCACCTTTGCCTCGGGGGTCAGACTGCTCAGCTATCCTTCAAGAAGGGGACAACCTGGGGAGTGACGAGGAAGCCCAGCCTGCCCCACGCAGCCATCCTGGGAGGACAGGAAGGCTGGTCTCTCGCACAGATGCACAGACGGTGTTCCAACCCTGTAGCCATACCTTCAGGCTGCTGCTCTCCTTTCTCCCCATCCATTTCCCTTCTCACCTTCCTGCGAGCAGACACCTGCTAACAGCCCTACACATCCGAAGAAAGCAACTGTCTGTGGTTCACCCGCTGTGACACCGCAGCCCGGGCAAGGTCACTCTTCAAACCCAGTCAACCCTTGAGCCAGACTTAGACTCTCCACTTCAGGGCTTATCGGTGGTGGCAAAGCCCTCATCCCTGCCAGGCACTTGGCACGAGGTTGCCTCCTGAGCCGCTGTCAGCTGGTGTGTGCTCAGGGAGCAATACTCATTTTAATATTGGCCAGAGCTAAACCTCATTAGAAAAGTAAATTTGCTGTAGCTGCAGGAAAAAAAAAAAGCAACCCACATAACCCTTCCAAAGCTAAATAGAAAACACTAATTTTGGATTATTTGATGCTTTGTGTCCCCAGAACCTGGTATAGAGCCTGGAACACAGGAGGTGCCTGCCCAGGGGCTAGCCTGGATGGGGAGTGACCTCTCTGACTAACCTGTCACCTTTCAACACGTGTAATAAACAGTAAGTGATCTCATGATTTTTCCCAGACAATCATTCCCTGATAAAGTGGAATGGTCACATTTCACACTATTAGACATAAAGATTGTCACTATTTAGCTGAGTAGCTCTGGGTTCCTTGGGCCTGGATAAAGGCAACTCAGGGTGCAACTCAGAGTCTGCGGGTGTGAGTTGTCCAAAGTGTGGCTGCACGGATTCCACAGAATTGGTGACATAGCTAGCCTGGCCAGAGGATGCTATTCCAAATTCCAGAGCCACACAGATTCTGGGAGGGTGGAGGGTAGGAAAGTGTATAAAATAAATTAGCACTCATCTAGCACTTTGAAAACAATCTGGTGAAATGAGGGTTCCCCAATTTACAGAGTGTCAGGAAACCAGGGCTTAGAGGGCCCTGTTTTGTTCTTAAAGTCCACTCAGTTGGTCACAGCTGGACTGAGACAGGCCTCTCTGGGGCTGGCTGGGGTCTCTCTATGCCCTCTTGCCGGTCTTCAGGAGGGCAGTGTTCAAAGTAGGCTTCTCTTCCTCCTCCTTCCCAGGTGCCAGGCCTGCTCAGACTCTGTGTCCTCTGCATCACACTGTGTTCCAGGACCGGGAGGGGTGGGCAGAGGCTGGAAGGTGGAGAAGAGCCCTCGGCACGGAAGACGGCACTGCAGGGTCGCCTTAAGATGCCTGTGTAACTCAGTGCTCACTGAGGACTCATAGCTTGTCCCCCTCTATCTGTTGGGCCTCTCCACATTTCCTGGAGCCTCAGACTGTCCAGTACTCCATGGAGAGGCTCCTGCAGGCAAGGACATGATCAGTAGCAGGCTGTGGGGGCTCTGGAAAGAATACCTTTGCTACCCAACCTCTCCTTGGTTCACATTCCCTCTGTTGCACACCCTTGTTTGTGATCTCAGACTCCAAATTCTTCTCTTCCCAGACCCTGCCTTTCCTCTGGTTGTCAGTATGGAGGGGTGCTCAGGCATCAACCCTTGCTTCCAGCCACATAGGGCCACAGGCTCCCTTATCTCTGTGAGCCTAGTTCCCTGGCCCATGTATCCTCCCCAGGTATGACCCTTAGAGCTCCTGACCTGCCTCATCACCAGGAACCCTACCCACAAAGAGCATGCTTGACTCCCTTCTCCCCTAAAATACTGCTGTGGGAAAATCTAAGCCTATCCAAAGCCTGAGTGGAAGAAATTGGCTGCTCTGGTGCCTGGGTCTCTACCACAGACTCCTATCTTGCTGTTGGAGCTCTACCCTCAGTGATTTACCTGCCCCTTGCTTCAGCTCCTCAGATGCATGTATGCCCCTGTTCAACCCAGTGCACAGGTACATACAGCATGCCAGAACATGGGGTGATTCCCAAGCATCTAGGGATAAGAACAGCGAGGCATTTGCTCCAGAGCTGAATGGGGCACAAATGCTTTAACTCTCCCTGGTGCATTAACCCTGGCCAACAAAGGAATAGAGGGAAATAGCATGCAACTCCAGAACCTTTTAGGTTGTGGGGCACAGCCTGGGCAGTGAGAAAGCTCCTTGGGGTCTCACAGGAAGGGAAGGGCCCTCATCCAGAAAGGGAGGGCTGCACGTTTGGTCCAGTGAGGCCAATAGTGGTCATCAGCTAAACCGGTACTGGGGAAACGTTTCAACCTGCAGTGACTCTTGACAGAGGTAAAGGAGAAAAGGGGGCAGAAGACAATTCTTAGAGAACTCTAGAGCAATGGTGCTGCATAGCCATATGCCCCTCAACTGCAGGAGCTTGGGCAATGGCATTCCTGGGGTTTCTATACAAACACAGAGAGTAACATCATGGTGTTCCACATTAGGACATCCACTCCCAACCATGTTTAACTGTGTCAAGCAGCCTGAGCTCAGTCCTGTTACATCCCCCACTCAGACTGCACCCACCCACATGGACAAGACATTGTCTGGCAGAAGCCACTTTCTGGAGCCCCTGGGCTTTGGCTCCTATAAGAGCTAGTGATGGCTGAGACAGGGTCTCAGCTGGCTGGAGGGAGAAAGGAAAAGAGGGAGCTGGTCAAGACCGTATCTACATCTGAGTGTGCACATGGTCAGAGTCTCCACCTGGGCTGCTTAGCAGGAGGCTGTCAACCCCTTTCCCTGGTAGTGCTGGACCCCGCAGCTTCTTTCTTTCTTCCTCCCCTGCCTCCACTCTCAGCATCTTTTTTGAACTTGCATGCTTTAATTGGAGGGACCAGGTCCTCTGTCCTGAACCCAGGCCCAGAGGGGAGCATGGGGACTGCACAGCCTTGCTTCCTTCCTCCCAGGTGCACAGAAGGTCCCAGGGAACCTGGGGCACTCTCCCCACTCCTCAGTGCCTCGGCCTCCCCTGAAGAGTTAACTTGCCAATGCTGTGAGGGAGCCACTGGGGTAGGGCGGCTGGGGAGCAGAAGTGGGCTGGGGGCTGCTGGGCCCATCCTCCTCCGGACCACCGAGAACCACCTGCTGAAGCGGCAAGGGGCAGGGCAGGCGGCTAATTGTAGAACGGTCTGAGGAGCCCCCGAGGACTAGCCTCCTCTCCACGCAGGTCTGATGGCAGGCGGCATCCATCCCGGTTTTGTTTCGCAGCCCCTCGCGCAAGGCCTCCCAGCCTTGGCCCCCTTTCCGGTGCCCCCTCAGTGCGCACCACACACACACACACACACACACACACACACGCGCGCGCGCGCGCGCGCACACACACACACGCACCCGCCACGCGCGCGCCCGGAGGACATGGCGTGGGCACCGGCGGGGACGCGGAAAGGGGCTCCGTGGACCAGGCTGCGGGGGCACTGACCTGAGGCGGCGAGTCAGGGTCTTCCGCGGCGCGGTCCATCGCGGGCGGGCGGCGCCTACGCCTCGGCCCCGGCGTCCCCAGGCTGCTGCCCTGGGTCGCGCTTCCCGGGGACTCTCGGGCTCGGGG